ATCTGATACAGCTGCCATCAGGTGGTAAGTCTGGTGTGGTGAAAGGAGAGGAGAGAGGGAAGGGGCATGGGAGGGGCAGATCAATGCCCCCCACAGTGAGAGAGGAGGCAGGGGCAGGTGCTGCCCAGTTGGGGGGGGGCATGGGATGGAGGTGCGGCTCATGGGGTGGGGGCAGCTCCTGCCGCTGCTTGCACCCTAGGAGGATGGGGAGGGAGCGCATACCCCCAGATCTGCGTGGGGCGGGTGGCAGCTGCATGGTGGAGCCAGAGCTGGTGCTGCATGGTTCTTTTCACTGGGGGCTTGGCTCAGAGTGGGCTCCAGCAGCACTGGGAAGAGGCTGCAGCCACCCCAAATTTCACCACAGGTCTGCTCCCAGGCCCACCACCCAGCACAGCCCTGGCTTTTCATGGCACTTGGGTGGAGGCGGGGCGTTCAGCCAAGGCTGTGCCAGATGGAGGGTGGTGGTGCGGGGCTGGGAGCAGAGCTGCAGCAAAATTTGGGGTGGCTGCAGCCTTCTCCCAGTGCTGCCAGAGCCCGCTCTGTGCTAGGCTTCTGGCAAGGAGAGCCCCGTGCAGCACTGGCTCCAGCTCTGCCCCACAGCAGCTACCCACTCCGCGCCATGCAAATCTGGGGGCACATGACCCCCCACCCTCCTGGGGTACAAGCAGTGGAGGGAGCTGCCCCCAGCCCACAAGCTGTGCCTCCGTCCTACGCCCCCCCCCACCCCCGTGGGGCAGCACCTGCCCCTGCCCTCTCCCTCACCATGGGGGGCATTGATCTGCTCCCCCATACTCCTTCCCTCCCCCCTTCCCTTTCGACTTACCAACTGAAGGCAGCTCTCCACACCGCCAACTCTGCTCCATGCTGCACTGAGGCTGCATGCATCATGGGCATTTATCAGGCAAATTATTGGCCCCATTGGGCCAATATCCAATAGAGGCAATTTTCTTTATATCGGTACCAATCTGATATCGGACCAATGTATCAGTGCACCTCTAGTAACAACTGAAGGTAATCCATCAAATGCAATTAACTACTGAGGAAAAATAATTTAGCACTAGGCAGAGGGCAAGTTTCCATTATAATTAAGAGTGAGGTAATAAATATGAATTGCCTAGGCATGTTAAATGAAAGATATATTGTTTCCTTCAGCTAAATAAAACACAATGCATTTTCTTTCCTTATGTACTTGATCTCCTTATGACAACAACCTACAATGCAAATACTGTAACCGTTCTATACTGAAAGCTTTTCAGTTTCGTATGTAAACATGAAATAGCTAAGAAAACACTTTTAACTGTATCGTATCTGTCAGAAGTGGCAGGAGGATTTTCCATGTGTATTTAAGGCACTAACAATGATTAACAGATTCCTCCCTAGCTACTATTTTATATAGTGCTTACTCTGCTATTCATTACAAACAGCACCATGCAATAACAAGAAATAGGTAGTTTTATAGAGTATTTGACTAATCTAAAAAGAGACTAAAATGAATTACAATAGCCATATGCAAGGATTACAGTGTAAATCATAACATTAGTACTGAGAGTCTCATTAAAAGACCAAGCTGATTTGCTAAGGCCCACAATTGTATTATTTCTACAGAATTGTATTTTGTCCCCATATTATTTCCAAGAATCTTGTGTAATAGATAGTGCTTAGTGCTGGAGGAAGAAAGAAACAGACTCAATAGTACAATACAATTTCAGAAATGAGATATGGATTTAGGGGTAAAGTTTTCACAGGCAAATGAAAGATGACTTTCTTTCCAAACCATCAGTGATCACAGGTCTTATATGTCAGAGACAATTTATCATATTCTATTCCTTGTTTTCTAACTCAATACTTGCCGTGTAACAGTTTGTCCAGTAAAAAATGATTGTGGAGCTTTCTCACTTCTGTTGGAAAAACCTTTCCTTGATTTGGCCGAAAGGAAATCCTCCAAGTCCTCCAGATCACCTACAACAAACAGCAATAAGGAAGGATAAGCATGGAGAAAGTTCAAAGCAGTCCCTTTTTAAGCTTTGCCAAAAACCACAATACTAAATTCAAACAAAAAGCACCTATGCAGAAACTCATGCTGCAGCTTATTAGCAATGCACAAGAAAAGATACAGATCTGGTGCTAGATACACAAAGAAACTTTTCTCAGTGCTTATAAAGGTATTTGTAGAAGGCATAATTTATCCAGTCCATTGCAGCAATTGCAGCCCTGGAGATACATACTCAAAGACATTCATTTTCAAATCTCTAGTTACAAAAATATTAGCCCCCGAACACATACAATTATCTACAGAGTTTCTTTTTTTCTGCATAGACCAAGAAATTAAGGTGTCAATATTACCGCAGTCTAATAAAGTCTATTCACTTGTTTATCGTTTGACATTTTTAATTCCCTCTATTACAATAAAAAAGATCTTGTAGATAAAATTATCATATTATATTTCACAGATTGTAAGGGTCTGGAAGGGACCTCAGAAGGTCATCAGGTCCAGCCCCTCTGCACTAGGCAGGAAAGACAACTGGGGTCAGGTGACCCCGGTAAGGTGATCGTCCATTCTCCTCTTGAAGATTTCCAGGGTAGGTGATTGCACCACCTCTGAGTCTATTCCACAGTCTGGACACCCTAACTATGAAGAAGTTTTTCCTAGTGTTAAGCCTGAAATGGTCTTTCAGGAGTTTATGGCTATTACTTCTGATTTTCCCCAAAAGTGCCCTAGTGAACAGTTGTTCACCGAGCCCTTGATGTATTCCTCTGATAAAGATAAGTTGCTACCAAGTCCCCTCTCAGCCTTCTGTTTTTTAGGCTGAAGAGACCCAAGTCCTTTAGCCTTTTCTCATATGGCTTGCCTTGCAAGTCTCTGATCATATGGGTGTCCCTTCTCTGGACTCGCTCAAGCTTTTGCATGTCCTTGGTGAAGTGCGGCACCCAGAACTGGATGCAGTACTCCAGCTGTGGTCTCACCAATGCTGAGTAAAGTGGAAGAATCACTTCCTTGGTTTTACTTGACAACTACAGATGCATTACTTTGACTTCCCAATTTTTTAATGTAAAAATAGCAATAGATGTGAGAGTAAAGGGAAAACTGGATAAAATGCAACATGAAATTACAAGGTAGATTGTGTCAGATTAATTTGGTATCTTCCTTGGATACAATAACTTATTTTCTAGACAATGGAAATATGGTAGATCTAATTTCTCTAGGATTCAGTAAAGCATTTGATAGAATGCCATGTGGGAAACGATTAGTTAAAATAAAGAAGGTGAGGATTAGTATGGCAATTGTAAGGCAAGTAAGAAATTGGCTATTGGGGAGAAGACAACAGTTCATGCTGAAAGCTGAAATATCAGGCTGGAAGAAAATTACTAGAGTTTGAACTATTGATTTTGGGAACAACTTTATTTTTCATTGATGATGACATGAAAAGTAGGAGTGTACTGATGAGATATGCTGGTGACATAAGGTTAGGAGGCATTATCAGTACAGAGCAGGACTGAAATATCATGCAGGAAGACTTAAATGACATTGAGACTGGAGAAATAGGAATGGGATGAAATGTAATAGTATTAAGCGCAAGGTTACATTGCTCTTATCTAACTGGCAAAGTCACTAGGCACATCTACACGTGAAATTAATTTGACTGAATAAACTCTGGCACAGTTTGCACTGGAGTTTATTGCTCTCAGGCAGAGTATTGACATGTGCGCCTGGGACTGCAACACATTGAGCCAGGGCACAGCAGCCCTGGCTTGCAGAAGGATTTTATTAGTTTACTGCAGCCTAATAGGGCTGCACCTGTAGATGCTGACGTTCTACTGCAGAGCTAATTAGGCAACTGCAGTAAACGTCTTGTGTAAATGCTCCCACTGTGTCCAGCAGTAGTGCCCTCAAGCATGCTACACTGTTCTTGGTTGAGCTGCCTCCTGAATCCAAAGCAACACAACCTCTGTCATGTGACTCTGGAGTGGACTAATTAATACTTCTGAGTGACACTGCCAATTAGCCTACTCCAAAGCTAATTAGCCTGCCTCTGGGTCAGGAAACAGCCCACCTGGGGTAGTGAAGTATGCTTGAAGGCACTGTCCTCATTTCCAGGTATGATGAGCTAACCTTGGACATGCCCTTGCAGACTAGCAGACTTATTACTACAAGCTGAGAACTTCCCAGAAATGACAAAGGAGAAAAAAACCCTAAGGGGGATTGGTTGATCAGAGGATGCTTTTTACTGATGTAAAAAGCAGCTATGAAAAAGCATATGAAATCCTAGGATGTATCAGGTGAGAAATGTCCATTAGATATAGGGAAGTACCAATTCCACTGAATAAGATACAAAGCTGTTAACTAGTGGTCAGCAGCCTTTTCAGGCTGTGGGTCAGAATGACTCAGTGAAGCTAAGAGATGGATGGAAAGGCAGGCACCAGAGGAAAGCTCTTGCTGCTGCTGCTGCTTTTCCCTGCTGCAACATGGGAAAAACCTCTACCACCAAGCACCACCAAAGCCCAACATGTGCAGGTCAGATGCAATGGTTCCACAAGCCAAATCCAGCTTGCAGGCCACAAGTTGCTGATCCCTGCTGTGAACAATTCTGTATTCTTGTGCCCGAGAAAGATGGATGCCAACTAGAACTGGTGCAGAGAAGGACTTTGAGAACAATCAGAGCCTATCTTGCAAGAGAAAACTAAAAGAGTTTGGCTTATCAGCCAAACAAAATATGAGAGGCAATACAATTGCTCTCAATAAATACATAGCTGGTAAGAGGGAAGGGGAAGGAGAAGAACTATTTAAGATAAAGGAATATGACAGCACAAGAACAAATGGCTATAAACTGGCCACAAGGAAATTAGAAAAAATGCTTTTAACCACTGGGGAAATGAGGTTCTGCATTGACTGTCGGTAGCAGTACTAGGAACAGAAAAACTCAAGACGTTTTAAGAGAGAGCTTGGTATACAAAGCATTTTCTGCAATAGCAGCGGAATGGATTTGGTGACCTAGGAAGTACCTTCCAATCCTATTTTCTAAATTCAAAAGGATAGAAACTCTGAATATTAGAAACAAAATACAACATTCATATAATCCACAATTCTATCCTGTAGTTCTAGTCTGTTAATTTTTTCAGTAAGTCAAGCTTAGACACACTCTTAGAAGAAAATTAATGGCCTTTAAATTTCTCTGTATAAAATAATGAGACTAAAATTAAACACCAATGGAGATTGTGTCCTTCTTTGTATCTGGAAGTTTCAGTCTATGAATGCCTGAAACCTCTAGATACAAGGAAAGAAACCTTGCTAGTGTTACATTTTAGTCTTAGTGTTCTATACAGAGAAAACTACAGGTCTTTCATTTTCATCGTTGTGTGCTTAAGCTTGATTCTCTAAGACAGTTTTTTGGAAGGTGTGAAATAAAACCCTAGTTAAAAAATATGTATTGGTCAGGATTTTGTTTGCTCAAAGTTTCTGTTTTGTCAGAATTTCCAACTCTCTCAGTTTTAGAGAGAGAGGAAAAATGGGGTGGGGGGTCTTTCTACTTCCCCCTGTTGTATTCTATATTCCCAATATGGAAAAAGTTGAGAATTACTGAGTCAGATGTGTTTGAAATATAGGATGACATTTATAAAAATGTCCAAGTTCCATTTTCAGAAAATGACTTAGGCCAATTTGAAGATGTAGCTGTATTGAATTTTTATTAGAGTTTAGCTCTTAATTAAGCTCAAAAGTCATTTTGAAAAATGGGATTTATAATTTCTAAGTCATAGGTGCTGTTGAACACATTATCCATATACTGTAAGACAAGCGCATGTGAAAAACAACCAAGCTAATATTCCTGGTAAACACTTAGCTTTTGCATTTCTTACCTACATTATTTTAAATTCTTAATATCACAATCATTTTTGCATATAGTGCTACAATAGCATACTATTATGGCTTTGCCCTCAAACTACTGAAAATGATAGAAACAAATAAGTGAAAATGACAACTAACTACAGTCTAACTACAACACAATAGATGTCAGAAAACATCCAGCATGTCTGAAAAAAAACACGTTTATTCATTCTTTGTCCAAAGATATGCTTTGTTTTGAGAAACTTGCATTGCACAACATGAAAAAGCAGTCAGTATAACACACTTTAATTTTGCCAAGGAAAACATCTTACAACATTCCTACAAAATAAAAGATGGTTGGCACAGATGTGATGCTATATATAGTTAACATTTTTAGAAACCAGACCCAAAGAGGATAAACTTTCTTACAAAGCTAGTTGAATGTAAATTACACTAGAGAACAGATCTGGAACAGGAGTCCTGCTACCCTTTTACCTCTGTTTTGGTGATGGTAAGATGATGAAAATCTTTGCTGGGAGAAGGAGCCTGACAGTAGGTTTCATGAAGTTTATCGTGCAGGAGGGAGGTCATGGTGGCTTTTCCCTGTCACTTGCAGGCTGCAAGGCAAACCACAGTCTCTAGACTGTTTCTATGGACTCTGGGGAAGTGAGTAGTCAAACTCAACCTATTCCACGTGGCCTTATAACAACAAGAATGCTTAGCACTCACTTTCCTGAAGCCATCCTGCTTCATGGGAAAGTTAAGTGTTGGGTAAACATTTTCTTAGGTGCACAATATTTACAGCATTGACTGACAGTCAGGAGCTGTCAGAAAATAAAGAGATTAAGGATGTATATATTGCAGTCACTGCCACAGCTGCAGCAGAGATGTCCATCACGCACGTGAGCTAGATTTAAAAACACAAGCTTGATTACCAGTATCAATCTAGTCCTGGCAACAGGAGCTAAACAGAGGCTCCTGTTTAGCCCACCCACCCAAGAAACCCACCCAAGAATCTGAGTAAAATACCTGAGCAGCTAGTCCACACCGAGCTGTGTGTTGAAGTGGTGAAACAACTACCTACCTGAACTAGATAGCTTATAGCTAGCTTGGGAATGTCCACATTATGCTGAAGTCACAGTAACAACTGCAGTGCAAACATATCCTAAAATGCTATATTAGAGAGGAACTGGTAAGTGTGAAAACAATGTTCATCCTTCTACCATGAGTGGTTTATACTAGTGGCATGTTTCTCCAGTTATTGTGGATCAAAATATGTCCTATAGAGTATTTATATATATTAGTGATATAAAATATTACTTTAGAGCTAGTAAAGGAAAAAATGGACAGAGATGGCTCTCATTCTGATATTAGTATTATGTGATCAGGTGACTAAGTACCAAGTCATCTTGTACCCAGATGACTAAGGTCTTGGTTCTGGACCTGTGTGAATATGGAGGTTTGCTCTCAATGATCCACTAGTAGGTTTGTGGCCTTAATCATAGACTGATTTTCTTCATCCTGTTTTCTAAATCTAGACTGATGTTCAGGGCAGGAGCCATTGTGCGTTAATTTTTATATCACTAATATAAAAGAGCAGTAGTTTCAATATACCTGTCCATAGCTGATATAGAATTTACTAGATATTAGTTTCTTTTAAGAAATAGCTGCATGACAGCTACAGCCAGATGCCATAAGATGCTTGTTTTTATATATTAATTTTGGTCTCCAAGGCTTATATTGAGGGACACATTCTCTGGTCCCTCAATTGGTATAGCTACACTGAAATCTTGTTTAACACTTTACTAGTAGGTTGTAGACCAATTAGGTCACACAGGCCACATCTACATATGTGCTTTGCTGTGGAGTACAGTATCACCATCTACACATGTGACAGTATTAGGCTGCAGTAAACTAATGTTCCAGTAAGATAGGGACAGTACTATATTACACCAGGGTAATTTATTGCAATTAAACGCACGTGTAGATGCTGACAGCAAACATAAACTGTGTCCAGTCAGCCCAGCCAGCCAGGGGCCAGACTTCTGCCTGCCACCTACCCACATGGCTTTGCACTTTCAGCACGTTCATGCCCCAGCCAGCCCCTCTGCCCCCAATGCCACCACCCAGAGGCCAGGGCTGAGTGGCCCTGGTGTGAACTTCTTTGCCTCAGCTCAAATTGCTGCTGTCCTTGATGCATGTGTAGATGCTGTGCCCAGGATTTGTTTACTCCAGTTCAAACTGCTCCAGAGTTTATTGCTTCAAATTAATTGGATGTGTAAACATACCTACTGGTGGCAAAATGGGTGCATTTATGTACCAGCAAATAGACTAGAGGTAGCACTGACAGAATAGTCCCAATTAGAAATCCTAGATCTGCACATGGTTGTAATGGATCTTGACATCTCATCATTATTGAATGAAAAGATGCAATTTGGAAGGTACCATCATTTTTAGATTTCTACGCTTCTATATTGACCATGGGTAAAGAAATATGCCAGGCAGGTATCACATCTCTGCACAATATTTAAAGGTCCATTTTGTCCACAGTGCATTGGCCTTGAAGTTTTCCAGCAGGTCAATGCTATACATAAGAATTACAAAGAACATTTTATTTTAAAGACTATCCATTATGGCTGGGGGTGGCACCACTGAATATCAATAGGCAAGCAGTATGCCAAGCAATAGCTATCCAATTTAAAGTTTTCACTGTGCAAAATTTTCTTCTAAGGCAAGGTGGGTAACAAAAACAACTTAACCTCATGTTTACAAATTATTTATAGAGCTAACTGTTACTTATTTTGCCAAAGGAACCAAAACTAAAAGGAACTAACTGAATAGAGTATATCCCAGCTCCCACAGGATGCTTTCATATACCCCTCTTCAGATGATAAAATAGGGGTAGGCAAACCCTGTAGAGCTGAACATAAGGTTTAACAGAAGTTCAACCTCTACTGGTTTATTTAGAGGTTTGTGTTCTACAGGTGTGAACCTGAGGAGAGAACTTGAAACTTCAGGAAGAGATAAGCATTTTGCAGAAGCAGAGCAGGTAGCAGATTTCCACACCTGCACTTTTTCTGCCATTACTAAAAATACTCGAGTTCTCAAACACTTTACAGGGCAATGCTAGGCTGACAAGGATGAGAGAAGAATGGGCTGGGCTGCTGTCAGTAGGGTTGCTGCCAGTAGTGTAACAATGGGTGGGCAAACAGGGCATGAGCCCTGGTCACTTCCAGGGAAAGGGGGTGCCAGAATGGAGCTAGGGGGCTGTCCCTTCCATTTCCCTACATCCTGCATTCCTCACCTTCCTGGAAGCAGCTCCAGCAGCAGGGAGGGTAAATCAGTGGCTGGAGTTTCACTGTTGGTGGGGGACATGTCTGGAGATGAGAAGACTGCTGGGGTATTTAATAGCAGCCTTCAACTTCCTGAAGGGTGGTTACAAAGAGGATGGAGCTAAACTGTTCCTAGTGGTGGCAGATGACAGAACAAAGAGCAATGGTCTCAAGTTGCAGCAAGGGAAGTTTAGGTTAGATATTAGGAAAAACATTCTAACATGAAGGGTAGTAAAGCAGTGGAACAGGTTACCTAGAGAGGTGGTGGACTCTCTGTCCTTGGAGGTTTTTAAGACCTGGCTAGACAAAGCCTTGACTGGGATGATCTAGTTGGGGATGGTCCTGTTTTGAGCAGAGGGTTAGACTAGATGACCTCCTGAGGTCCCTTCCAAGCTTCATTTTCTATGATTCTATGTCATTTAATTATTTTCCCATTGAAAACCACTGTATAACTGGCTGCTTACATGCATGTCATCAGCAAAATAAAGGAGGTGACACCTTCCCTAGCAGCAGTGAACCTCCAGCTATTGTTTCTGTTCCAGGGCACAATACTGGCCAGTTACACTTCCAGTTACTGTAGTGAAATTAAAGACTCCCTCATTGTGTGTGAAGCATTTCACAGGAGGTATAAAGGTAGGTCCCCTCCTCCAGGGAGCTAATCTGCCCTACAAAAATTTAGGATGGCAGGATATGAACAGCTCTGAAACTGAGTGGTAAAATTGAGACATCTTAGTAGTTCTGTTTTAAAAAGAATATTAAGGCTTTCTCCATTTTCTTTTATGTCTTTTCAGCTGTCTGTGGGTTCTTTGATCCAATGCAGACAGGATACTTTCTTAGGACAGGATAAAAGATTTTGCTAGATCCCTTCTTCTCTTTGAAATGATACAAGCTGGTACCTTTTTCTGTTCTATGGGGCACAGCTATACTATCTTTCCATGATGCTTCCCCCAAAAGCAGATCTATGATTAGAATGCTTTCTGTTCCCCCAGAAGAATGGCAGTAGGGAAGGCAGCGTGGCACCTTCGAGACTGAGTGCATCTACATGGGATGCTACACTGCCATAGCAATGAGCTATGTTACCGCAGTTCAATGGGCTCCTGCGCAGTAGGTACTAAAAATAGCCTTGCAGAGTCCAGACTGCACAGTAACACTGGTTACTGCACAGTCATTTAGTACTTGTTTTAGTACAGTCCACTGCACGTGTTGACGCACCCACTGGCTCAGAGAGGCATAAGCTTTTGCAGGTGACAGGCTATGTGGCTAACAACTCTCTGGATAGCGCCTATCTGGAAAATGTGAACAAAAACAATTGACTCTCCCCATCTCTTCCCACACATAAACATGTTCTACCATGATGTTTGCTCCTAAGAGGAACAAGAGAAGTAATTACTTTTGAAGGCAAGTATGGAATAATGAAAGAAAAATCTATTATCCTTAATCATCATGACAAAAGCTAGCCAGATAGATTTCACAGCCAGGGCATGAGTGACTGGTGCCTCCTGAATCTGATGATGGCAGTGGCTCTGTTCAGGGGGCACCAGCCCTGCTAACAGCATCAGTGTCATCTGTCGGGGGGGGGGCACTGGCCCTGTCAGGGGGGCACGTGCACCCTGGTGCACTCCCTACCAGTCGCCTATGACCCAGGGTGAACTTGTAATGATGCTTTTTACTGATCAACTACTAGAGGATGATGATCAAAGTGTTTATAGCAGTTGTTCTGACTTTCCATTCAGAAGCAGGGTTATACTGGTGAGGGTCCAAAAATATGTGAGAAGCAAGGGCTTTTTTTGTGGTATCATTTATTGGATCAGCTGTAGTTGAGAGATGTTATGCAAGCTTTCAGGCTCAAAACTCGGTCACAAATGAGAGCCCAGCAGTTTTTTTATGCCGTACTGTTATGTGTGCATAATTCTGTAGTGATACAACTGTGCAGAGCAACAGTTCCCCTACCCCCTTTGAAGTCAATCCAAGTGTGCATTTGTCCATACCCTGGTTTTCACTCCATCTACTCTTGTATTGTGCACATGTTCACATTATACAATAGTGTGGAATAAGACACTGACTGGCAACTACTACATAACCTATATTTTACTGATTGAGTGAGCAGTATAAGGACACTCTGTGGCAGACACTGGAAATCTATGGATTTCCATTAAAATTATCCAGATCTTCCAAATATTTTATCAAGATACTAAAGAACATCACAGTCATTTGAAAGACTGTGATCTCCAACCAGGAATTAGCTGACTTGATGTTAGCTTTGGAGTTAGACAAAAATATGTCTCTGTGCTGCTTGGAATCGCCATTGATTTTGTTACATATTGAACTTCTGACATGAAAGCCAGAATTCCCTGGATAAACAAAGTGGTTGAAGACCTGGGCTTTGCTTAAATGTGCTTTCAGAATATGTCCATAAATAAAATGAAAAACCACCCAAAAATACAGCTTAGTCAGAATAAGTAAACAGTTATTATAATCAGCAAGTCAAAATTCAAGACAAGTAGTTCTTATAATCA